ATGATGAAAAGAGCTTTTGCAAATAGGAAGGGGACCAACAGTTGGAAAGAAGAAGCAGGAAAAAAAGCAGGAGATGAAGAACAAAAAAGAGAGACAGAATTAAGGTGTATTTTGTGCACGTACTAACTTCCCACAATACTTGTAATCATTGCGTACTGCGAAAATATACTAATAAAAATGATGATAAAGAAAACATTGTCTTTATTTGGTTTGTAACACACAATATATTCTATTTTTGGTTGTTGCTTCCTTTAGTGGTTCCTTCTAAGTCCTTTTTATGAACTTTATTCTTCTTCCTAACCCATAAATGTTGGATTATCCTAGGGCTCACTCTTTAGCCTCTTTCTCTCCCTGCTTTCCTCCCTGCTTTCCCTCTGTCCTTTCTTCCTTATTTTCTTGTACTAGAGATTGAGCCCAGGGCCTCCTGCATGCTATGCAAGTGCTCTACCACTGAGCCATATCCCCAGTCCTTTTCAAAATTTTATTTTGAAGCCAGACATAGCGGTACAAGCCTTTAATCCCAGCATTTGAGAGGCTGAGGCAGAAAGATAGCTGTGAGTTCAAGGCCAGCCTGGGCGACTACATAGTGAGACCCTGTGTCAATAAACAAACAGATAAACAGTTGCTTTGAGGCAGGATCTTGCTAAATTGACCATGCTGGCCTCTACTTTGCAATCTTCCTTCCTCCCAGGTAGCTTGGATTACAAGCGTGTGCTTGCTACTATGCTCAGCTTTTGATTTTTTTTCTTGATTTAAAATGCCCTAAGTACATTTATCAGACAAAGAAGTAAAAGCAGCAAGTAAATATATGAAAAAATGTTCCACATCACTGATCATTCGAGAGATGCAGATGAAAACAACACTGAGATTCCACCTCACCCCACAAAGAATGGCTGCTATCAAGAAATCACACAATAACAAATGTTGGCGGGGTTGTGGGGAGAAAGGAACCCTTCTCCATTGTTGGTGGGAGTGCAGATTGGTGCAACCACTATGGAAATTAATATGGAGATACCTCAAAGAGCTTGGACTGGAGGTTCCATTTGACCCAGCCATCCCTCTGCTGGGTATCTTTCCAAAAGAACTCAAAGAATCATATCAAAGAGAAGTATGCGCACCCATGTTTATAGCGGCACAGTTTGTAATAGCTAAAACTTGGAAACAGCCCATTTGCCCATCAGTTGGAAACTGGATAAAGATGTGGCTTTTCTATAAAATGGAATATTACTCAGCCATAAAGAACGAGAAAATGATTCATTCATAGGAAAATGGATACATAGTGAAGATATACTCCTAAGTGAAATTAATAAGTCACACATGTATAAATACTGAATAGTTTCTCTGGTGTGAATAAACTGCAATAATACATAAGATCCTAATAAGATTACTGACATTGTGAAATGGGAAGAAAAGGGCTAAAGGTGTAGGGAAGGTGGGATGGATAGGGGAAGGGAAATAAGGGAAAAGAAAAAAATTTGAGATGAAGAAAAGATGGAAATAAAGTGTTTGTAGATGGGGAGGGGAGGAGGGGGTGAAGGGAGGGCAGGGATAAGGGGAAAAAATGAGAACCAAGACCTGTCATGTAGAGGTACAAGATCCCAACGATGAATGTAACTGTACTGTATCCCTTAAATGTACCAATAAACTCAATTAAAGCTGAAAATAATAAAATAAAATGCCCCAAGTAATATCACCTAGTTCCATGGTTTTCAATATTACTTGGTGATTACTTCACAACTGCATCCTCAGCCTTGATTTACAAAAGAAAACAACAGTACTTAGATCCCTAATAGACATCTCAAAAACCCAGCATGATTACAATAAAACTCTTGATTGCCCCAAGAAGCAGAATTGGCTTGTGGAGTCTTACATCTACCAGGTGGCTTTACTTCTTCAAAGAACTCATTGATTTCAAATATTAGCTTCATAAAAATCCTGCTAAGACAGTAGGGGATAATGCCAGCTATCAGATGAATACACCAGGACTCAGATCTGCTGGGCGGATTTTTAAAACAGCCATATTTGATATGTTACAAAGTCTAGAGCAAGCAACAGAAGCCAAGTTTATCTCTGTGCTTTCGACTAGATTATGACGTCTATCAAGTCACACCGTGCTGTAGAAATGGTGATTTGAAAGTTGGGTGGCTGCGAACAGCACAGGAGCACTCAGAACAGCACCGTGGGAGCGGAGCTGCTGAGCTGCTGTGTGATGACCGCGGGGTTTCTCCCTTGCAGACCAGGGCTCCACTCGGAGACGTCTCCCTACTCGTCAGGAAGCTCCCATTTTGATGAGTTTCCTGCTCTTCAGAAGGCGGGTAAGTAGACTTACATGATCTTGAAATCCATAGTAGGATAATAATAACCATCTTTTAATTTTTTCAAATATTATATTCATTAAATTACTATTTCCTTAATTTATCACCTATCTTTAACTTAATAGCATGTAGATCACCATAGAGAAGCCAGAAAAACCAATCTTTGAAAATGCAAACATACTAGCTGAAAACATACATAGCATTCTTGGTTTTAGGTAGGGTACTGGATATATCTTAAAACTGATGTCCAAATAAAGAAGCCAACATCATAAAATTAGTCCATTACTTCAGATAATATAATATCTAAGCCTTTTGACTAGATTAGCAAATAGCTTACATTTGAAGATTTTGGTTTTAAATATTGTTGGTGCTTGTGATAACATTTTTATGAGCACACAAAACCTACAGCCTCCCTGGAAACATGTTTATACATGCACATCAATACAGGATTTAGGGATGCTCTGAAGATGGGGATCCAGGAACTGGAGAGAAAATTTCTGTTGCTGTTCTATGCTCAAAGGAAAGCTTTGGAATGAGACATAATCTCAAATCTATTGTCAATCTGTCAACGGTACAAAGTGGTAAGGTAGCAATAAATGCAAATTTTAAGAAAGATTAAAATTTAATTATGATGCCAATGAATAATAATGATAATGACAAAGAGGCCTGATTTTTTGCTTTGCAATCTACAGGAAGAGGCTATATAACAAGGTACAAGACCGTATTTCTTAAATCTGCCAACATTGCAATGTCTTTAAGATGAAAATCTATGACTACTCATACACACAAACCACTTCAGTGTTGTTACGGAACCTAAGCGTACAATCAACTTTGTTAGAAAAACACTGACAGAGAAACATATATCAGATATTTATGTCCAAACTGTAAAGACATCAAATCGGGCGTTAAGAAATCTTGAACTCTTCTAGCCTTACCCCTGATGTAGTGTCTTGAAGCAATTTGTTTCCTACTAGATTATAATTCCTTACTCTTGTTTTCAGTGTGCCTGGTACATGATAATTTTTCAATAGTTAACAAAAATTTTAATTAAATGGAATTAATTATCTAGTTTAACACTATGTATTCTCTTATTTGTGGTCTTTTTTAAATTTTTTTTTTTTTTTTTTTTTTTTTTTTTTTGTGTACCGGGGATTGAACTCAGGACCTTGCGCTTGCTAGGCAGGTGCAGGGCCACTGAGCCACATCCTGGGCTCTTAAATTTTAGTTTAAAATAATTTTAACTTATACATAAAAACATAAAACTTAGAAATATGAACAGGGAACTGTGTGAGTTTCAGTCCATGTACACGTTGTTTCATGTTTGAAGCAGGTCAGGCAGACCTATCTCCTCAAACGTTTAGAACCCTTCCTCCCCACCATGCGGAGCGCTCAGTGCCCGGCGCCTGCAGTCACTGCTGTCCACACACCTCGGAGCGGCTGGCGCCGACTGGGCCCAGCCATCCCTGCCACCCTTCTAAGTTTAGCTTTACTAACGTCCACTTTACATTCTCATTTTTTAAAATTTACAGACTTTATTTTTTGAGCAGCTTTAGAAATGTAGAAGTCTGCAAATTTTAAAGACAAAAACACAATAAAGTTTGTGGCTGTTAAATAAGGCCAATGTCTGACAGATTAGCACAACAGTTAATTAAGTATAAAAATGGGTGTCTTAAAAAAATCATTTAAATATGGTCCGTATGTCCACTGTCCATTAATTAAACTTCTATTTCCACTTTACAATGAGAAGTAACACTTTGGAACACCAAGTGGAAAATCGCCATAACAAAAATCACAATATAGTAAGTTATAACCAAAGGAGAACATCATCAGATAGCTATTTAAATATATTATTATTATTATGTAAGGCCCATTTTCCACACTCTCTGTTAACTGAGACCGGCCGGGTCTGGTAAGAAACCTAAGTGCACAGTAGCTGTTGCTTGGCTCACATCTTAACTTCTTTGCACAAGAACCCTCGCAGTCAAACACAAATTATATTTAATCCAGTTGTCTGTAATTTATCTTGCTGTACAACACCCTGTTACACGCTTCTGTTTGTTAGCTAGAAGATATGCTATTATTTGTGAGATACCAGGGACTTAATGTTTAATTATCAACACCCGTTTGGAAAAAACATTGCTTTGACTCACAAATTTCTTAATTGCTAACAGCGGCTTTTCTGAGTAGGAGCATTGTATATAATTTATGTTTGCAGATGCGTTTTAGAAACTGCATTTTAATGGAGCAAAGCTTTCAGCGTCTTCCCCAACGGCAGAAAACCCCTCCATCCCTGCCGTGGTGAAGGCTGCTGCTTGGAGTTTTAACAGAAATAAGAACTGTGAAGCACCTGCCCCTTCACGTCAGTGCGGCCACAGACTGCAAAGGAAGCCGGGCCGTCAGCAGAAGGGAGGGAGTCACTTCCAGCCCGGGAGGTTCCTCTTCGCGCCAGGCTGGGGAGGGAAAGGAGCTTGAGGGAGCTCAAGAAAAGCAGGTGCGCCGGGGCACAGCTCCGCGACATGGGCGCGCGTGACCCGCGGGCAGGAAGGACGGGCCGGCTCGGGCCCTGCAATAAAGTCACCGTTAGGCTCCAGGAGGGCCGCGCACCTCCGGGACAGGCGTCGTCCACGCCACTGCAAGAGAGCGGGCGCGGAGGGCGCGAGCGCAGAGCAACAGAAGGACTCCTACCCGTCTGGCCGAGCTGCGAGGCGCTGCGACTCTTCCGGGAGAGGCCCACGATCGCGACCACCTTGGCCCCGATGCTGGAGCGCCGCTTCTTGCCACCCGCGCCCAGGGCGCCCACCGCCGTGTCCGACTGGCTGCCGTCGTTCTTGTCCAGCGGGCACAAGTCGCCGCTGACGCTGGTGCTCTTGGTCACGCTCTTCCCCGGCACGCCCGTTTGTCTGCTTTGCATTTTGGACGTAAAGACACTGTCAGGCGTGGCACCGTTAAAAGCGAGGCCAGGAGTAGAAAGGGAAAGACAGAAAAGCCGTTTTAGATGACACGTCTGGCACATGCCTGAAGGTTAGCATCTATGAATCGCAGCTTTAAATTCAAAACTTTGCAAGAACCGCGGTCGCGACTGTGCTGTCGCTCAGGGACTCCGAGTGCACGCGGAGGGCAGGGTGTCCCGGCCAGGCCGAGCAGCCCGGAAGGGAGGAGGCGGCCTCCCAGGGCTCCCCGACTGTGCCGCCTCGGAGGAGAAAGGAGTCTTACAGAAGTGGTAAAATCACGGCCTCCATCTACTCAGGGTTTTTCAAAATGAGTTTTGTCATTTGATGGAGAACCTACTATAGTTCACCTAACACCGGTTAAATTCTCTAGCAGGGCTTAGTATTGTCATTAGCTTTGAATTACAATAAATGAATTCATTTTACTTAATTTCTGATCTTTATCAATTTAAACTCGTTTAAATTAATGACTTAAATCTGTCTTCGGAAGATAAAGAAGAAAAAAAGAAAAGATTTCCCTCCTGTGTTCGTTTGAAAGAAAACTCCTAAGTTTCCAGACAATGCGGCCAGAAAGTAAGTGAGTCTCTGCATCTGCGAGCTGCTGGCGAGTCCATGCTGCAAACAGCAGTCCTGAGGAAAGAATGCTGGGTTTTCCCCAGATTCCCGGAGTGCTGTGGGATGCTGTGGGTGCCACAAGGAATCCGGAAATAAGCCGTGGCCGGCCCCTGAACCCGAGAGAGCACAGCAAGCAGCCTGCAGGAATGGGAAAACTTATTTACAGACCATCAGTTTTTGCCTATTATTATTTGGTTCTGATAATATGAGTGCTTACCAGGTAAAGTAACAGAAAGAAATAAAAAACAAGAAATAGAAATACATGCATACCATTTAAAGTATGAGAATTAGAACTGACATATTTCTACTTCACTATCTTGGTCTCCCCGGAAATTTTTTTTCTCCCTTTGGTATCGGGAATCGAACTCAGGGCCTCACATTTAGCAGGCAGGCGCTACACTGCTGAGCTACAACCCCAGTCCCCAGAAAAATACTTTAAAGGTTAGAACTACATGTTAATTTTATCAGTCTATGGGCACAGTCTCCAAGTCTTTGAAAGGGGACAGCCCTGGTGTGATTTTTTTTTAGGACTCAGGATTGAACCCAAGGCCTTCATGCTAGGCTGCAGCCCCAGCCCCGTTTTTTATTTTAGACAGACGGGGTGCTGTCTGCTGTGCTGCTAAATTGCCCAGATTGTGCTCAAAATTGTGATCCTTCTGCCTCAGCTTCCCAAAGTGTTGGGATTACAGGCGTGCCCCACCATGCCTGGCTCCCAATGTGACATTTTAAAAATACAATGACGGGCATATTACTTTTATTTTATCCTTCACATTAGTTTCATGAAGAAATGAGGCTTATACAAAGAAAGAGAAAGAAAATGTGTTTCTCTACTGCCCTAAATTTGTAATTTTCAAGCTTGTTTGATTTTGCTATTCTTTCATCAATAACAGAGTACAGGAAAATACAATTGGAGGCAAACAGGTATGGGCTCGCTGCATGGTACTTACAGAAGAGTTCTTTGTTCCACTCAGCCCTAGGTTCTTAACTTTTAAAATAAGAATATTTTATTTTATTTTTAAACATAATGTGTCTAAAGTAAAAAGTCATTAAAGGGAAATTATAACAATTAAGGAATATGAACAATTGATACAAAAAGGTTAGAGCCCTTAGACATTATATAAATATTTACTAGCGTCAATAGAAATGGTATTTGTCATTAAAAGTTTAAAAACTTGTGGGTTTAAAATGCCCAGGTGGTTCAAGACAACCGGCATTACAAGCTGGAGGGCAGACTGCGCTGGGGCAGGGGCCTGGGTTTGATCTTCGGCCTCCCTGATTGACCCTGCAATCTTGGGAGAGCGGCTTCACCTTTCTGGAACTTGGTTTCCTCTTCTGTTACCTGAGAAACCCTAAGCAGTGCACTGAGCGGAAAGCCTGCTACACAGCAAGAGCTACATTTCCCCCATCACGGCTCAGCATCTGCTCACCCTGAACCAGCGGGTTTGAGGCCTCTTTAACCAGGAAATGCTCCGCTCCCCAGATAACTTACTCTGTGGATTCACTCTATGGTTTCCATAGTATGCTGCCACCAAAAAAGGCAAGACACAGCTTAGAAAGGGAGTGTTTAGTTGGGACTAAGGTTTTTAAAAACAAAAGCATATGTTCTACAGTCAGACTAATCCAATACTCGAGGTACATGGGAATTTTCACCCAAACACACATTTCTAAAGAATCATGTAATCTATTACCTACACAGTTTGGTTTCATGGTTGTGTACTTCTCTTCAGCCTAACAATTTTGATAAAGGTTATTTTTCATTGGCCTGAAAGTTAGAGACCAACAGGAGTGAGTCTAGGAACAGTTAGGCTCAAGCGAGGTGCTGCGGGGCTGGGGTTGGGGTTCCACTACCAGTTTCTTTCTTACCCACTGAATATCATCTAAAACAAAAGCAAAGAATGTTGCCAGACAGTAAGCTACAAAGCAAATATTTTAGTTAAAAACAATTTGCAGTGTTAAGGCTCACAGATGTGCTTGAGCTTCTGGAATGTTCAGTGTGGTCAGGAAAGCATGATTCAGGCTTTAAAAAGCAAGCTGTAAAGGACAGTGACATGGGGAATTTCAGCACTGTTGGTGGGGCCGGCAGGGACAGGCTTCTGAAGAGAGGTCGGCAGGATGTATCCACAAACAGCTGTTTGAAAAACATATCTGCCCCTTAACCTATCAGTTCTCCTTGAGGTTTATCCTAAGGGAGAACTGGCTGATGTGCACAATTTAGCTGCAATCTGTAATGATATTTATTGCAAAAGTGGTTATATAGCAAAAAAAAAAAAAAAAAAAAA